ATCTTTTAAGAAAATGTAATTTAACAAATAATAGCTGCCAAGTCGTTAAATTTCATTCAAAAATTAACCTATCATGATTTGTAAAAAATCCTTTATTTTCGAATTGGTTCTGTTTCAAATATCGTGTATAGAGCAGAGGTTGCCAGTGACCCGAGGGGTCAATCGATTTAACTGAGGGGTCGATGGACAAATGTAATTCTATTACATTTTAAAATAAAATATAGAATAGAATAAAATAGAAAATAATATATAAAAATAATTGAAAACTTAAATTTTAGTGGTGTAAAATACTGTACATAATTTTGAATTTATGATTTATGCTAAATGAAATGTTTAACTTTTGTTTGAGTTATTATTTCGTCTATCTTGAAATTTATTATTATTTTGTATTAGTATAAAAAAACAGGGAAATGAATTAAATCTAATTTTGCAAATGTGTCGATAAACGAAAAAGGCCAGGAACCACTGCTGTACAATACTATATATAAATATGAAATGTTTATTTTAGAGTAGATATTTTGGATCTTATAATCAGTTAATCAAATTGAAATGGAGAAGATATATTTATATTAAATTGTGGCTAGATAATAAATATGAAGTTAGTTTAAAATTTATCAAAAAACAATATCGTTTACTGGAAACAGTATTATTCTATGGTAAAATATAGGTAATAAAATGAAAACATCATTTTTCATAACATTGTCTAATATAATTGTTACATTAAAACGCTTCTGATTATTATTATTATTATTATATATTGTATATTATATAGCAGGGGTGTCCAACCTTTTTGTTTCTCTGGGCCGCATTGGAAGAAGTCAAGGAGTTTTGGGCCACAAGTATATATAATATATACTTGTGGTTCAATATACAAGTATATTTAAGGATTAACATGTCTAGATTATAATAATAAGTATTAAAACTTTATCACGAAACAGGATATTTTAAAAAATTACTTCTACAGACACTTTCAATTTTTACTTAGAAATAGATAAATTCATTTATTTGATAAAACGCAAATATTTGGTTTATTTGAGTCTCTGATTAATAAAAAGCGACGAAACACCATTTTAAAGTGCATTTTTATTCAACTAATATATTTATAAATGATATGTAGCCCCAAAAGTAGCCAAAGCGCCAAATGATATTTTTTTACGTTAAACTAAAAAAAGTAGCCACATTTGGCGCAATGTAGCCAAATCTTGCAACGCTGGAAGGAATACTAAATAAAGCTGGAGTTTTGACTCAAAGGATTATAGAGCCAAATTCGGAAAAAGAAGAGAAAGGACAAAAGATAAAGAAGTGAGAAAGGTTGGAAAATTAAGACTCAATATTTGCCTAACAGAAGAACTATTTAACCTTTCTGACAACTTTTTATCTTTTGTCCTTTCTCTCCTTTCACCAAATTTGGGTCTATAATCCTTTGAGTCACAACTCCAGCTTTATTTAGTAATCCTTCCTCATTCACACATCTCCAAGTACATGAAAATATTTCATTTCCACTCAAAACTAAAATATGAATAAAGGTTTATGGCTTTGTGAAACTTCTTTTCTGAGTTTATGCCGTTGAAATAAATAAATAATAAAAAATTAAAACATTTGTCGGTTTTGTTTACACCTTTATTGGGCCGCATTGGAACTTGCCTTGGGCCGCATGCGGCCCGCGGGCCGCGGGTTGGACACCCCTGTTATATAGTATTTAATAAAATTTTATTTCTTAAATTTTCCTATAAGCCATTGGAAATAGTAATATGACAAATGTTTGCCATTTTGTAGGATACAGAACCTATAAACCAATAATAATATTTAAATCTAATAACATCCTAGAATTATATTAAACATTCTTAAACTGTTTTAATCTTTATTTATTATTAAAAGTGCTAACTGTTGATTTTTGTAAACATTTTTTGCTTTATTTATAACATATTCTCGTAGGAATTCATTATGAAAATTTTGATTTTTCTCACAAATTGCACAGAAATTTGTATTAGATACAGATTAATTCATGACATTTAAGATGATGTTATGTATCCACGATCAATTTCACGCGGGACGGTTTAAAAATCTAGGTCTTAGAGAGATATTGAAAACTCAATTTTTTTATTTTTATTTTTTTTAAAGTCAATACGATAACGCTTATCAAACATATTCTAAAAAAGAAAAAAATTTTCTTCTGCTTACAAATGGGTCCAACCATCACACTATTGAATCTTTGCATAAATGTAAATGATATCTTTACTATTATTGTTGTTGTTTTATTTTTTTAAAGAATAGAGTAATATATAAAATTTGTTACACATATCTTGCATTTATTGCATGGGGATTGGGATTATTGCATGGGAAAAACATATTTTCTAACTCATAATGTTTTGGTGTATATAAAATGTAATATATTTACATAATTACTTTATATTCAGTTAATTTAAAATAAACTAATTAGCTTTTTAATGTATTAAATGTTATATTTTGACAAGATTTAGATATTTATAGAAGAATTTTTGTATTAACTGTTAAGAAAATGGAAGCTTTTATTGAAAAAAAAAAGCATTTATTTGGATAATGAAACTTAAAAATTTAATATTTTTAACAAGGTTTTAAAATCAAATTGCATTATTCCTTAAAGTTTCTGATATGTTAAATAAAGACTGGTCTAAAAATTAATCATAGTGAAGGTTAACTTATCTTATTTAGATACTTTTATTATAAATATTCTAAAAATTATTCAAATTTATTGTAAATTTACTTTGATGCCTCTCTTAGTTTGTATCAATATGATTATTATTGTAGTTTTTTTATAAGTTTCTTTATTAAATTTTAAGAAAAATTAATAACAATATAAATTATATCTACTTATGTAATAAAATATTATGTAATTTTTTAAGAATTTATATCCTACGGCAAGGGACCAACCAATAGAAATTTCTTGTGCTTTACAGCTTTTTGCTTTTATTTGTTATTATTTAATGAATTTCTTTACTTTATTAAATAAAATATTACAAAAGTTTTTTAGTAAATCTCTTTCATTAATACTTACAGAATAAATCTTTAATTCATACCAAAAGTTCTAATGATTTTTTTAAATAAATAATTGATAATCTAAGTTATTAAATGTCAGAAAGTATAGGTGGTGATTTATTTATATCATGTAATTTTAACTTTTAACTTAATATTAAAAATGCAACATGACATTTATTATGCTATAAAATTACAAAGTACTTCAAGTTAATAGGTTTATGTGGGTAGCCTGAGGTAGGACGAAGTCGTACCTCGTTCTGATAGGCAACAGTTGGGTGAGAACTGCCCACTGGTCAGTGGATGGCTTGGATAATGTTTTCTCTATCCCGTAAAGTCGGGATTCTTTTGTCAGGTCGAGTGGAGGAGGTGAGAGGGGTCGTCGGTAAAGTGTGAGCNAAATTTAATGTAATATTTAAAAGTTATTAGAAATAAAAATATGATAAATCACAATTAAGATTTTTCAAAAAATAACAACAATGATTATTATTCTTTTATTTTATGAAAATAAAAAATAGTCTAATCAAAACTGATTAAATTTAATTTTTGTACATAAATGATTATTTTTCTTAAATATAATTTTTTATGACAAATGGAAGAAATTTTAAACAATGAATTTTGTATTTTTTTTCTTATCAAGATTTTTGGCAGAACACAAATACGCTTTTATCAAGATTTTCAATTTTTTTCCATTTTTACAAAGCCATTTACAAAGATTTTCAATCGATCTCAATGAGATCGATTGAAAATCTTTGTAAATGGCTTTGTAAAAATGGAAAAAAATTGAAAATCTTGATAAAAGCGTATTTGTGTTCTGCCAAAAATCTTGATAAGAAAAAAAATACAAAATTCATTGTTTAAGATTTCTTCCATTTGTCATAAAAAATTATATTTAAGAAAAATAATCATTTATGTACAAAAATTAAATTTAATCAGTTTTGATTAGACTATTTTTTATTTTCATAAAATAAAAGAATAATAATCATTGTTGTTATTTTTTGAAAAATCTTAATTGTGATTTATCATATTTTTATTTCTAATAACTTTTAAATATTACATTAAATTTCAAGATTTATATTAAAACATTTCAAGTGTGTTCTTAATCTTTAAATAAGTATGAATAATTTATAAACTAATATTTCCAACAATTTGTTTGTTTGTTTTTATGGTAGTTGAAGAAAATATATCAAATGTCGAAGCGAAAGATGGAGCACTTTCATGCCTCAGCAGGTGTCAATGTTTTCTTCACTGGTCATCCCGCCCGAATCTGTTTTCTACGGTCATTGAATAAGAATTCTGTCTAGACATCTACTGCTCATACAATCGCAATCATATAAAAGTAAAGGGGGAAAAAACTCTTATTAACTATCACTATAATAATTATTTACAAGCAAAAATAAAATTAATATTATTTCAATCATAAATAATTTAGTGTTAAATAAGAAATTTTCTTTTCTAGTCATTTTATTTAAGACAACTTTCACAAATATTTTACATTAAAAATTTAAATTTTTATGCGAGAGATGGTACAGATATTCTGTACAAAATAATTTAATTATATATTGTTTTAAGCAAAGTAAAATTTTACAAAGGGCCAGCATTCAAATATCAGTACTCTGTTACTATCAAAACTGTTATATCAGTAAAAGTGAGAATTTTATTTATACATTAGAAAAAAACAAATATACAGTTCAATATTTACACCTATAAATTTCTTTTTGTAAACTGAATATTTTTATTTTGTAAATTTAATATAAAAGTAAAATTTGACTGAACATTAAATAACGAATATCAAATAATAGACGGATCCAAACATTCGAAAATAAAAAAAAAAAAACATTTACGTCCAAACATTCAAAGAACATTTTTTTATTAAAAGTATATTAAGCATATATAGATATATATAGATCAAAATATTTATTTATTTTTAAATATTTTATCACAATTAAATATATATAAGAATTCTAACATTTTATATTTCTATATCCTTACACACCTTTTGAAACGGAAAAACTCGCTTGAGTAACATTCAGAAGAAACAGAGCGTCATGAATACCTCGGATATTTTTCACCAGAAAAAGTATTTCGCCAGCACTTTCTGGATTCACCTGAGTTATTTCCAACCATGTTCTATAGCAATGTGAACTATCGCTTTCCTTTATAAAAGGAATATCATGAAATATAAAATAAAGCGAATTCTAAACCATCTATAAGAAATAAAATTACTGTTATATTATGGGCAATGTATGGTAAGTATTTATCTCCTGGACTTAGCACAAGATGGCGCAGTATCCAATGGACTCTTACAGGACGGGGATTGGCACAGAATTGGACAGCTAGACTGGTAGATCTTCCAGCAATTGCCATAAGTGACTTGTTATAGGCTGTTATCTCTGGTCTTCCTGTATATAAAGGAGTAAAGTATCGTTTCATTTCTAATATGGATTTATTCTAATATATATTTTGTTATACTATGAATTTTCTTTTCTCGAGAATGTTTTTTCATACCTTCGGCAATACATTCCATTTTAATAGGTTCTCCTAAGCCAGCTTCTACTTCAGGTGCTGGCTGACGTACATATTGGCCGCCATCTAATATCAAAACTGTATTTGAATTTTCAGTAAATTACTCTTACAATTTTATAAAAATATAAAATACAATAAACGCTATTTAAATAAGACATCCTGAACTTTAATTTAATAATAATTTTAAAATATTATATGAAATTTTAAGTTTTTGTTAGAACGTTTTATCAACTTTTAGATCATTTTAATTTAATTTTGTATAAATTATATTGCCAATTAATTATTTTATTCCATTATAATAATTAATAGTTTAATATTAACAATTAAGATTTAATTGTTTACGTTTAATTTATCTCGATAATTAAATTTATTAGACACTTCATCAAGAGAAATAAAGTTCTTTTATATTAAACTTGACAATATTTGGCGAGGTTTATTGGCAGAGTTTTCGTTTAAATAAAATTGATCATCCTATTCATTTTACAAGAAAAATCTATATGGATGTATAATGTCAATTTTTGATTTTATTTTATTCTTTTCGTTTTAATTTAGTTAAAAGCGTTTCGAGTTACTTTCAAATTTAAAGGTAGTATAAAAAAATGGAGTCAAATGCTACAATTCTAAATTTTATGCTTACTTACTTCAAAGAAAAATCCTATATATCGATTTTTCTAGCCAGAACATAAAACTCGTAGGATCTAGCCTGGAATTAATGATCACATATCAGCAGTAATATTTATGGGAAGTAGACACGACCCTCCCATGTCTGCATCGTAGAAACTTATCTGACTGTAGCAGCCATCAGGTATGCACATTATATTCTTGACATTTAGATAAAATGGATAATATTAATTTATAAAAAATCTTTACTAGTTTGGGTTATAAATGAAGCATGGATAGTCGTTTGCATATGTAAAAATCGATTGATATTTGTAAATATTCATTTTCTTTCGATCTTTATGTAAACAGGCAGTTTTTCCTGGATACAATGTTGACAGAATTTAAAATACTCGGTCGTTACCGTAACAATTTATCATGGAATTAATATCGAAAATTAGATGTTGGTTTCAACGCATTATTATGTAGAAAAGTTATTGCAGTTAATATAATATTTTAAATAATTGCTAGAATGAGATTTTGATCAGCACCCACGAGATTCATAAAAGTTACGCCCATATAATTTTCATCTATTTAAAACTACGATTAAGTTGCTGTTGATAAATCATAAAATTATACTTACGTCTAACGTTAAGATAATACCCGAATGATGCAAATGTACCCAACTGGTGTTCGGTAGAACACCTATACCATCCTGCATGACTCCTGTTAATGGAAGTGAAATTGAGATATCCATCAGGACTCGGTTCAACGGCTAAGGGGCCATCGTCTTTTATCCATTTGGGAGAACTGGCAGGATTGGCATCAACATCACACTTGAGGGAGACAGCCATCCCTTCCAAAATAGGGAAGCCGAAGCCCGGTTCCCGAGTGATAGAAAACGAGGGAACATCTGTTTATAAAACAGAAGATTTAAGCTAATTTCCATGATTTGATATCTACTTAACTGAATAATATTACATATATTACAGTTTGATTAACACTTAATATACATTCTATATATATTATGTATGCATATATTATAAGATGTACACAAATTGAAAACTTTATTACATAAATTATACGTATAAACCTTTAAATATCAATTTTAATGTATAAATATAAAATAACAAAGTAATGAATTAGTTCCATAATGCGTCCAAAAATAAAAATATTGATGAAGCATTTATCTTACTTTTTATTTTAAATATTTCATATCAAAATTGGTGAGTTTTGAAAAACAATTCAGTGGAAAGAATGGACACTAATGAAATTTTTTGTAAAAATAAATATGAATTTTAAATTAATCTTAAGATTTTATCTACAAATACTCATAAAAACTTCTTCAACTGAAGTGAAGATGATTACAAATTTTAAATTGATTGTATTACCAAATAGTAATTCAAATATAAAAATGCAATATTCAATTCAATTTTATAAAACTGAAACTGAAAATATTTATTAAAATAATTATCTATCAATACAATGCTGTATTAATTTTTAATGTATAGACCTAAAATGACATAAAATTAATATTTTAAACTCAATTTATGCCTATTAACGTTTATCTAATCAAAAACTTAATTAAACTGTAATGGTACCAATTACATGGTATTCAGCAATATTATGTTGTTTAATGGTAAAATTAAAAACTTCAATTTTTACTAATGAAAGATTTTACTAAAGATTAAATAAAACAAAAAAATAGTGTTTTGACTCTCATACTGTAATAAAGTATCACTAAAAAGTTCAATTAAAGTTAGTTCCAACTTATTTTTTCTAGATTAAAAGTCAATTTCACTTTCAATTTTTTCTTGCTCCTTCGATTTATAAAACTTAAAAATTGGAAATTCTAATTAAACAAAAAGGTGGCTTCGAGTTGAAAGCGAATGAAAGTTAGTTTGATAATAAGTAGCTAGACATCACTTTTGGCAATTGATCGAGTAAGTGGATTCTTTCATAGAACTTGTAATGTGTTTCAAGAATTAAGTCTACCGAGATCATGAAGTAAATCACCTTTTATCACGGCATTTTCCAGTCGATGATACCAACTACAAAAATAAGTTACTTTATTAGCACAGGTTTTTTTTGATTGAATTTAAAATATATCATATTTATACAATTTATGTTTATGGATAATTTTCATTGGGAATAACTAGAGTTTTATAACTTCCAAGTTAACAATAATCTTCCCTTCTTTTAAAAACTTCTTCCCTGATAAACACTAAAAAGGAAAATAAAGAATAAACTTTTAACTTCACTTTAGTAAACTTATTTCGACATTATTTCGCTGTTATTTATTTGAACCGAAAAAAAATCATTTACCGCAAAATCTATAGTTAAGTTAAAGTATATAATGATACGAATTTTCGAAATATGACGTAAACTTTACTTGTTTTTGACTATTAAGGTTTGGACATTTTAAGAATGATGGATGTCGTTATGCCAACCAAACTTCCAACTATTACAAGTTGGGGAGCGAAATGCTGGCAAGATGAAGAATGGAGCTATTCTGTTTCCATGACAGAAAATATCGTAGTATTTGCTCGAAATCAAGTAAACCTTCAACTGAAGAAATATATACGTTTCAATTCAATACTTCATAGCTGTAAGAAAAATATTAGTGAAATCAATGAAACATTTTAAAAAGATTTGAGGGTTAATGTTCAGGGAAATATTCTACTCTCGAAACATTTACTCTCAAAAACATCTCTTTACGTAAAAATATTCATTTTTCTTCGTGATTTTGAATATAATAATAATTCATGAACGAATACGTATTTATAAATGACTGAAAAACTTTATGCTAAAAAGTTGAAAAATATCCAAAAAAAGATGATTCATTCATTTTATTCCATTTTACTGAAACATTGAAATTATTTTATTGTATAGTTTTTAAACACAATATTAAAATTTATATTCTAAACGTGGTTGTAAATTTAAAAACAACAGATGTTTAGTTGAGTAGCTTTTACATCGCTGTAATCGGCATTTTATACAATGTAAATTAGTAAATAGATTTCATTCCAGAAATAAATTTCAAGAATTTTAAAATAAACTTTTTACACTCGAGTTTATTATAAATTGTTAAAAATTTCAAAATTACTTACACAGGACAATCAAAGAGGCACTAACGGCTGCTGACTCTAACCAAGTAACATGGTGTACGTGGCATATCAGTTCTTTTCTATGAAGTTTACGCGTTACGTTCAATGCAATTACACTTCGGCTGATATACGCATCGTCACCCGGAGTAAATTCTACGAACAGTTCACTGATTGAAGTAACATTCGTGCCACCTAATAACCAGTATATATGTCGTACAGGTGGAACTGCACCTCTTGCGACGCACTGTACAGTTATACGAGTCGGTTCACGAACTGTTATAGTTGCTTGATGAGCTAATCTTCTGCCTTCCATTACCAAGAAAGGATCTTCCGGCGGTACTGAGGGGAAAACATTTTATACATTATATCGATCATGAGTATTTTCAAGATTATTGATCGATTGCTAGTATTATACTCAATTCAGTTTTCAAAATTTAAATTAAAAACAATTGTTAAATCGATTCATAAAGATGAAAAAAAAATGCATATAAACGATATCATTTATGATCGTACATCATGATATCATTTTTACATTTTTTAGAAAAAAAATATTTGTTTATAAATTTGAATAATGCAATACACATTAGCAAACTAAAAGCGTTCCTTTAGCTTTCAGAAACTGTTGTATATCATTTTAAAGAAAAAAAAAATCCTACGGTGCATAAAAAAGAATTTTGATGTTTTCGGTTCAGTTAGTTTTATAACACACTACAGAAAGAGTTATCGATAGTCCAGATGGCGTCTGTTGCAGACAACTCATAAAAAAAATGTTTTGCTTTACAAAGATTTCGGAATTAAAAAAGATAAAAAAGAAAAATTAAGTTATGCAAACGCATCAATCAATTAATACATATTTCGAAGTGGAGAAAAGCCTGAGAGAACACGATTTAAAAATACTTTTTACTACTTTGTTAAATATACTTTTTTTTTTTTAAATTAAAATATTAAGTCGTACCATTCGAAGGTTATCTTTATGATATTTAATGTCTCTTGTTAGATATTTATTCAGTCGTAAAAAGTTTTTAATAGATTAGTGCAGACAAGCTGTCGAAAACTTATAATTGCATTTGTAGCGTGGATGTATTTATTATGAATAGTTTTCCAATAAGATTATCATAATTGATATTAAATTATATAAAATTAAATAGTATTTTATGTAAATATATTTTTAAATGGTCACACAGATAATTATAATTTAGAAATGTTGTTAAAATTTAAAGAAATAATGGACATTATTCGAAAACAAAAACAAGAAATTTATTAAGAAGACATCTTTGTAGCTGACGTTTAAATGAAATATTAAACTAAAATCTATTAATCATCTTTAAGATCCCTAACTGCCAACATAAAAAAAAAACTAGCGATTTTCTTTTTCCTCTTTTATATATTTTGTGGCTTAATAAAACAAGTGGAAGACAACTTTCTTAATCTGTACGAAAAAAGATTAAATAAAAAGAAACAAATATTTATTGGAAAAAAGAGAAAAAATAAAAATAAAAATCTTATTTTTAATTGTATGATTTATTAATGTTTAAATTTGATTTTCTTAAATAAACTTTTTCGATTTTTACGTTGAATTTCTTGAATTTTAAATTATAAATATAAAGTATTTATTTGAACGTATAATCATATCTCATGGTCGAAATGACGAAGATTTNAGCAACTTAAATAATTTAGTTTCGAATTTAAAATTCGTCCTAAAAGATAATTTAAATACATTTAGACGATTGAAAGTAATTCATTCTTTCTTGATACAATCTGGCAAGGAAACTAAATTCAATTAATTTTGCAACTGTTGAATACATAAATTTAGTTCAAACTGACTCGACAGTTAACTTTAAATATTGTTTTATAAAATATATGAATACTTTTAAGGGATTTTCTCAGCTAGAAAAATTCCTTAACTTCAAAAAAAGTCAAATGATTAGTTTTCCTGGACATCATAAAAAACACTCATCTGAAAATTAGTTTTATGAAAAGGAATGTATTTTTTTACAAAACTATTTAAAAATATATATATTCAACTTACTTGCCACGACTAGTCTTAATACTTCTGCCACACGATGCACACTACCATCTATACCTAATTCTCGACATTCCCAGACGCCATTATCCGCTTTAGTAACACCAGTAATGGTTAAAGAAGTCGCTCCTGTTCTTGATATATTCCAATGACGTCTTTGGGATGTTCTCACATCGAGCACAACTGGTTCACCATTCAATAACCACTGAATAGAACTTCCTGGAGTATCAAGCGAACAAGGGATACTGAGTGTTTTCCCCAGTATCACTATTTTTTCAGGAGTTACTGTATATATATTTTGAGATAAATGCTTTTCCTTAGAGTCAGATCAATCACTTAACGAAGTTTGATATTCAAAATAAGGTACGTTTATCGTGAAAATCATTGACATTTTTCTTTTTTATAAGCTACGTATCCAAATTAATAAACAACAAACAAAATATAATTTATAAAAATATAGAATAAATATTTTAAAAATTATTAAAGGGTTATTAAGTTTTAATATGTTGAGAATAATTGATGGAAGCATCAATTATTTCCTTGAAGATACATTTGTTCATATGGAGAACTACAGTTTTTCAGATGAATGATGGCTGACAAGTTAGATATGACAATAATGAACATTCCTCGAGATCAAAGGTCATTATAACAGATAAAAATATATAAGATAAATATCGATTTTCTTCTCTTTTTTTTTTGTCCGAGAGAAGAGAAAATTAATATATTTTAGGTAATTAAAATTTATATATTTAAAAAAAATGCATTTAATATTTAAAAACTTTCGTATAAAAAAGTTTAATTTTGTGTTTTTACTTAGATAGCGCATGAGAAACTATCTATACTATTTTTTTTTTTAATTTTTAAATGAATTTTATTTCAATTATCAATAATAATCTCTGAAGCATTTTGAAAGAAATAATTTTTAAAAAATAAAATTAAACATTAAACGAATTTTAACATGCATTTAATTGAAATAATCCGTCTTTAAATTTATAACATGCATTCAAATCATTTTCAAAGCGTATGAAGAAAATAAACAAATTAATTTTTTAATTGTCGATAAACATTATTATTTTTATTGTTTTTTATTCTCAATAAATTTTTCAAACATTTGTATATTTTAAAGTTAATTCTTGTTTTCGGTTGATTTTTTATGATGTTAGATGAAGGACGTAACAAGGCAATTATCCACTAACTTAAACACCCTTTAATCATATCATCAACTCGTAATTCAACTCTAACAACCATACAATGGAACAAAAGCAATTTTCTCTTAGAGAAATTGAACAAAAGACACTAACTAAATCACCGTCTTAAATGTTTCACGCTCGAGGTTATATAAATAATAATAATAACAATTATTTATTACAGAATTCTAAATATTGTCTTAAACAGTTTATCGTTGAAAAGAAAAATTTGATATTTTTCTGATATTTTCCTTATCAGACGTGCAGGAACTCTTACAAGAGACAAAGAGTCATTGTCCTTCAAGAAGTCTCGCTAATGGGACTTTATTGCTAGTCTCCTGGCCCAGTATATATCATGGGTATGTCGACATTGGGACCATCCTTACACATGATGTTGCCTCGAGACTATACTTTCAACCAATCACAGCATGGCATTTATCAGTTTATCTCTGACAGTTACTGACGTCATTAAACCTATCCAATGGCGAAAGTGATTCGAGTGATGAATAGCTATACATTGAAGTGGTTTGTGTACCAGAAATGATACATGATCCTCTCCTGCTTGTGAACGATTGGCACTCATATAGTACCAAAAGAGGAAAAGAAGTCAGTCACCGATATTATTAAATTAATTAAATATATAATGGGGCCAACTAAAAGCTTCTTTTGATCTGGCAATATTTTATGACTTTTTTCTTTTTATTTTCTTTTTTTTTGTAAAATTCGTGTTTACGTGTTTATTTTTTAAATATTTATTTTTAATGCGATTTTATACCTATTTTATTCCCATATTATTATTATTTTAACTGAAAGTATTTTTAAATATTTAAAGATATTTTTAAATTTTTAAAACAAATAAAATGTTCTGTAAATATAATTAGAAAATAAATAATTTAAAATGCATCCTAAGTTTAAAAATTTCTGTAATAAATTAATTTCGAAAATAAAAACCTATATAAGAGTTTAATAGCAACTTAAATAATTTAGTTTCGAATTTAAAATTCGTCCTAAAAGATAATTTAAATACATTTAGACGATTGAAAGTAATTCATTCTTTCTTGATACAATCTGGCAAGGAAACTAAATTCAATTAATTTTGCAACTGTTGAATACATAAATTTAGTTCAAACTGACTCGACAGTTAACTTTAAATATTGTTTTATAAAATATATGAATACTTTTAAGGGATTTTCTCAGCTAGAAAAATTCCTTAACTTCAAAAAAAGTCAAATGATTAGTTTTCCTGGACATCATAAAAAACACTCATCTGAAAATTAGTTTTATGAAAAGGAATGTATTTTTTTACAAAACTATTTAAAAATATATATATTCAACTTACTTGCCACGACTAGTCTTAATACTTCTGCCACACGATGCACACTACCATCTATACCTAATTCTCGACATTCCCAGACGCCATTATCCGCTTTAGTAACACCAGTAATGGTTAAAGAAGTCGCTCCTGTTCTTGATATATTCCAATGACGTCTTTGGGATGTTCTCACATCGAGCACAACTGGTTCACCATTCAATAACCACTGAATAGAACTTCCTGGAGTATCAAGCGAACAAGGGATACTGAGTGTTTTCCCCAGTATCACTATTTTTTCAGGAGTTACTGTATATAGCAGACGGGGTAACATCAGGCCTTAAATAAATATAAAACTTTGTAAAAATAGTAATCACAATAAATTTTAAAATAAATTTTAATACAAAAATCATTACTATTTATTATAAATAAAATAGGAATATAATTATTATGATATATAACAATTTTACTGTATTGCTTTATGGCGATTTGTAGTTGTAAAATAGCCATTATTCTACTTTTTACAGCTGTAAAACAGGAGCTATATACATTTTAGAAATCGATAATGTATTGCTATTTCTTATCAGGAGAAAGAAAAGCTAACTAGTTTGTACATTCGAGTTTACAACTTCCACTAACTTTATCGACAGTATTATTTCCAGTCAATGTGTATCACAAATCTCAAATATGATGCCCTGGGAAAAGAAAACCTAGCAAAATTGGATTTTACCGACCGTAGTGATGATCAGATAGCATCCATGTTGCACACAAAGAGAAAGTCAATTGATTGACAGACGAGAAACGAATGCCCATAAGTTAGCCATAAATATCAAATATTGTATCGTTGAATTATTAATATAAAAATTCTTTAAATATAAAAATATTTTCTGCGTGTAGAGCTAAAAGGAAAGGGTTTTCTGATTGACTGTTATTCCTACAAGCGATTACAAACTTATTGAATTATAAATGAAATTCGAGGTTTAATAAATATGCAAATGTTAGAGATATGTAATACTTATCTCAACTGACTTAAAATTGCATTCTATCAACTTGCAACTTCACAAATTGAACTGACATTAATTTTAAAGTTTAAATATATTTATAGAATTTATCGGGTAATATTTACTTTAAAAATTTTTATTCTTGTAAATTCTTGAAAACGAAATATTACCGAATTTATATTCAAAGACTCATACAAATTGTCACCATAAAAATGTAATTATGTTAAATATTCTCTCCGGAATTTGACATTTATAACAAGAATTTTCTTTAATCCGGTTCCATTATTTGTTATTTGTTGTACAAGTATATCAACCGAGTGACAATCTATTTGATTTCGAAGAGATTTTTCTTTAAATAATTTAGAAATTTATTACCGAAATATTGACTTTTGTTGAATAAAAAGATTTTTATACTAACTTTATTTGAATCTTTCTTTTATATAAAAATTAAATAAATAAATATTTAAGAATAGCATTATATTTAGATATCTATTTTTGTATTTTATAAAATTCTATATTATTATAGCCAGATTATACTTCATATAATATTATTTATATTATATAATATAAATATATTAACATTCAGTATTTTGTAACGTTTTTAATATATACATTATTGTATATTTTATTATTTTTAGCTCTGATATCAGATATATTTAATTACACTGTCCCATTTTGTCTCTTAAAAATTCGATGTCGTAAACCATAAATTGCCAAAAAAAAGTCTAAAGAGACATGTACAAAGTTTCTAATTACAGTAGAAAAATGATGAACACGAATTAAAAATCATTAATACAATGTTTACGTGAGAAAAAATTTAATGAGAATTTTTTAATGTGAGAAATATTAAATTATAACTTACGATACTAAATTAAATATTCAATTAAGTTTACAATTGACAAAATAATTAAATTTAAAAAATACTTTTACTAATAAATATCGTTAATATAAGATTAAAAGATTTTTATTACAAATCATAAATTGTAATAAAATTTTAAAATATTATCATTTATTTCGTATAAATAGATAAAACCCGAGATCTTGTTAATACGTCTGTTAATCTATTAAATCAATATTTAAATGATAATTTCACGCGTTTTAAAAAGTTTGATAAAATTATTAATTTTTGATTACATAAAATCAATACAAAGATAAAATCATAGATTCTAAGCAATCCATTACTAGAAAAATATACAACTTTATATCTTTTAGTATCAGTTAGTTTCTATTAATATTTCCATTTTCAGATTAACAGGATATCCGATCCGATAAAAGCTACCCGATTATTAAAAATTATGGTAAGTTATTTTCCGTTTCCGATTTTAAATCACAAGGAAATATTTTAAAATGATAAATTGTCGTCGTTTCTACTAAATTATTCTAAATGTATTATAAAGTCACTAAATCATAATTAAATAATTCATTTCTATTATTATTATTGAAAGCATACATTATTCAATTATTCCTAGTGATTAATGTTTATTCTTAAGATACAGTAATTTAATTTGAATATTAAAATAATGAATTTCTGTTTTTGTTTAATCTTGGCAAATTATTTTCATGTTTAAAAATAACAAAACATTTAAATAACAATTTTACTAAGTTTTAATTCTATTGACAATGCTAATTTATTCGAGTTAATTCGAATTTATTGTATAAAGGAGAAAACACTAAAAGATATTAGTATTAAAGCTCTTTTCTTAACAAATAAAATATCAAAACATGTAAAATTTATGATTTAGTTTAAGATTCTTACATTTTCTCTAAAGTTAAATCAAATTTATGCACTATTTTATAGTAAACAACTTAAAACTGAACTGAATTTGTCTGTTCTGGAACATGTAAAATGTAGCGATTTTATACTATTTCAAACATAGTTTGGAAGTTCAATAAATCATTCATTGATAACTCATACATTTTTATTATTTTAAATTTTGATGANGTAAAATTTATGATTTAGTTTAAGATTCTTACATTTTCTCTAAAGTTAAATCAAATTTATGCACTATTTTATAGTAAACAACTTAAAACTGAACTGAATTTGTCTGTTCTGGAACATGTAAAATGTAGCGATTTTATACTATTTCAAACATAGTTTGGAAGTTCAATAAATCATTCATTGATAACTCATACATTTTTATTATTTTAAATTTTGATGAATAATATATTTATCAAGCATTTTGTAAATGGTTATTCGTCATTATTTAATTAATTCTTTTATATAAAAGTTTTCTTAGTTTGCTACATTATCAGTTAAGTAAATTATTCTTTAAAACTATTAATTTTTCAGATTTTGATTAATTGTATTGAAGTAATGCAACTTCTTGCTAACGTCTTCTCTTGCTGAATTTAAACAGGCTTCTCTCTACTCTTAAGGTGATCTACCACTTTCATCTTCTTTAATCCTATAATACTAGTTTCTTTGCATTCAGCAGTTCTCGGAAGATTTATTTCACCTATCCAGTCAGCTGCCAGTATCTCCATATTTTATTTTAGTTTTTTCCTTATCATTTTCAATCTTGCAACTAAATATCAATTTAATTTTTTATCGTAAGAATTTCTCCTTCTGCAATATTAGAAGAAAATGGTAATACAATTTTAATTGGGTTTTAATAAGGCTTACTTTCTTTTCGATAATTGGTTCAAAAACTTTGGACAAGCCATTTCTAAAATCATATTTATAGGCATATAAATTTATAAAATTTATAGATTTAAAAAATTTTTATTACTCGTTAATTATACTATTTATATTTTATTATAAAACTATACTTAAAAATTATTACTGTATTTTTAATTAAAGATTTTCATAGCTAAAGAATTTGTTTGAATGTTTGTATTTTAAAATCGAGAAGAGAATTTTAAGATAGAAATAGATATTTATAATTTTCTTTCAAACACGAAAATATATTTTTCTACGAAAATTTCCATCAGTTCTCGCCATTTTCATGATAGATTTTCTGTTGATGGATAGATAATGTTGCGCTCTCTCAAATTTCCATACCAATTTTTCAAATTCTATCTCATTTTCAAATCGTTTTTTGATTGAAGAGTTATTCTGTTACGTTTGATATTATGATTATTTCGAATAGACAATTTCCCTAATCATTGTTTGTGCTAGTTTTCACTCAAATCTTGTAATACTTGATTATTATTCGCACCTAAATTTTCCTTCCAGGACCAAATAACCCTATCAAGTTAAAAATGTATTTTCTTCCCCATTCGCTTTTAAAATTCATTTCAATTATTATGCAAATTTAACTTTGCAATAAATTCAAAATTAAAAAACATTTAATAATGAACATGTACAGTACATTAATTTTTCAGGTAAAGTTGACGTTAATCAGAATTTTCCATTTTTTAATCAAATAATTCTTAATTTTGGATTTAAAATAAAAGTGATTTAAGTTACGTAAAATTATCTTTCAAAAACAAATATAAAAAAATCAACGTAATTAATCCCAAAATTTCTCTTGTATAATTATATTTTGTAGATTAAGTTTTAATTATAGAGCATTAAACATCAGCGCATATTATATTTTTCATTTTTGTTTACAAAACTCCTTACGTTGCTGTAAGTTAATCAGTTTATAAAATGATTAAAATTATTTGTAATATTTTTAGAATAAATAAAGTAATAAAGCTCGAATTTTTTGTAATTGTATTTGAATAACTTATTTAAAAAATCAATATACGTACAGTACTATTGGCAATTTTAACTTTAACAATTATTTGAAAAAAAAGTGTATAAAATTTTATGATAGTTAAATAATGAATAATTATATTTACTTAATGTAATAAATTAAATTTACATGCAGCAATAAACAGCAGTTAAATATATTTATTATTTTATTTCTCTTAATCGTGTAAATTTTAATAACAATTTTGCTTTTCTCTCATACTAGTTTATTCATTTTTTCCTCCAATCGATTTATATATTACTTTCTACTATATGCTTTAATAATATTACTATTTTATCTTTTCCCTCGAGATCAATAACGTATTAATATTAGCAACAATAATATCAATGACTGTGTATTTTGTATAATACGAAGCTTCATACATTATTTAAAAATATTTCTGTAATATTATGTTTAATTTAACCATTTTATTCACATTAAACTTTGAAAAGTAACTTTAAACAATATATATATATATAAAATTTTAAATTTTTTTTCTATTAATTAATGTTCTCAACAAAATAAAAAAAATTATATCTTAATTACACTAATCCATTTTCTAAATATCCTGAATAGTCATTCATTTTGCAAACTGACTAACTTTTATTCGAGTAAAGCGTTTGAAAACAACAATAAGTGAAGCAATTTGTAACAATTTAAA